GAATGCTGTTCCCTCCACCCCTCCTTCCAGCGTCCGTAAGCCTCCATGTTTGCCTGACTGGGCTTTTTCACTCAGAGCCCAGCACACACAGAACACCCCGTGAATGTCTGTGGGGAGGAGGGGCCATTAGCATGCAGCCAATTGTTTGGGGAGCCCTGGGTGCCTCCGAAGTAGGAGGGGGACCAGCTTCATTGGATGAAAAGCATCCTGTTGGAGCAGGCACCGAGAAGGCTTAGAGGTCAAGGTCAGGGTCAAGGGCCCCTCACCTGTCTCCCAGGATAGAACACAGGCACCAGAGCAGGAGCAAGCTGGCCAGGAATGGGGCGGGAGAGGGCATCCTGGCCCCTGGCACAGCACTGGCTGGACCTGGTGGGGAGGTCTCACAGGAGTGGCCGGTGAGAGGCTTCTGTGGCCTGGCCAAAGAGAGGGGGCGGGGGCACCCCCCACCCAGGTCATACCAGTCACCAAGCTGAAGCCACCAAGCTGTCACTCTGCCAGGCTCCATTCTGAGCACAGTTTGCTTCTTGTACGGCCTGTCACAAGGTGGACAGCTTGATCACTCCCATGTCGTAGGTGGGCAGACTGAGGCTGAGACACCATTTGTCCCAAGGGAAGGGTGCCAAGCAGTGTGTGTGCCCTCGCTCTCCTGCGCCCGGGGGCCCTGAGTGCCCCCTCCCCGCTGTGTCCCCGGCCATGCTGGGGGTGGCTCCTCAGCTCAGCCACCTGTGACTCAGGGCAGCTCAGTTTCCCAGACTGTCACGTTGGCTGTTGGCCCAGAAACTGCATCCCCCGTGGTCACAGGCCAGACCCTGCACAGGACGGAGTGGGGGATGTTCCCTTCCTGACCGCAGGGTAGGAGCCCCATCCCCTGGAGTCTCCACCCCCCATGGCCACGCAGAGCCCTGAGCAGTGATGAGGTTCCAAATCCCCATATGCTGCTACTGCGGTGTGTGACCTAGGGGCAGCCGCTTGGCCTCTCTGAGCCTCTGTAAAATGCAGATCCCGATGCCCCCTCTCCGGGCTCCTGTGGGGAAGTGTTTATAGAACACCAACCGCATATTGGACCGAGCACTGTTGGGGGCGGTGTGACACATCAGGGAGCAAGGGGGCTCACCGCGGGCGAGGGGGTAGCCAATAACCCTCAAAACGGGGGTTGAAAATGCAGCAGAGTTACCAGCGCCCGACCTACGCTGGCCAGAGAGGCAGCCCCAAGGAGGGGATGCTTCAGATGGCTCCAAGCAAAGGGGTGAGGGGGCTGAGCAGTGTCCTGGGGTCAGCCCTGGGTCCTGCCACTTCCCACCTAGGTGACTATGGGGACCTCAGCTTCCACATCCGGAAAATGAAGGTAAGAACGACTCCATCTCCTTGGGCTCCGGAACACAGCTGGGCGGCGAGGGATGGGCCAGGCCTGCTCCGGGGCTTCACTGGGCCTCTCTCTTCCTTTGCCCAGAAGGCCCTTCCGCAGACATCCACAGGGCGCCCCGTGATTTCTTCCTGACTCACGTCTCTACCCCTCACGCCCTCTGTTCCTTTCCCTGCCTCCCCGAGCGTCCTCATTGAGATAATGTGTAATTTCCTTATTTGTTCTGTTTACCCTCAGCCCTCCCCCTTCCCTTGCCTCCAGCACCCGCACAGGTGGTTGCTGCTGGCGATTGACTGTGGCTCGCAGCGCCCCCCTGTGTGCAGAGCAGGGCTGTGCCGCAGAGCTTGCAAGGCTGTGACTTTTCAGATCCCCTGGCCTCTTCTGAGGCCTCCCCTGGGTGCGCTCGAAATGTCAACCTCTCGGCAAGCAGCCAAGTGCATCGCTGAAGAACTCCCCGGCACACGATGGGCATCTGATAATTACTTAGTGAATGAATAAATGATCAGAGGGGGGGTCTCTGGAGGTGTGAGTGGGGAAGGGGCTCCCACAACCCTACTCACTTTCCTTGTGGCATTGACTGCCCCCTGAAATCATCACCAGGTTTTCTTTTGGGGTGTCTCCCACACCGAGTGGGAGCTCGTGGAGGGTGCCACGTCCTGGACCCAGTGTGGTCCTGGAGGCAGCATGTGCCCTGCTCGCAACTGGGGTGTGAAGGCTGGGGTGGGGCACGGCTGACGGAGAGGGAGCTGCTCCCACTGGTGACCTTCAGGTGCCCCTCGCCTCTCTGGGTCCAGCTTCCCCAGTGGGTCTCCCATGGTTCCTCTGCCAAGTACCAGGGGGCACGTGGGATGGGGTGCTGGGCACAGAGAACAGCCCCCTAGGCGGTGGTGTTGGGGTGGCAGTACCTGGTTGCTAGGGTTACAGCCACCTGTGCTGAGGATGTTGCCATGGAGACGGACCACCTGGGTGGAGAGGGAGGCTCCAGATGGGGAAAGCGTGGGAGGGGCTGAGGGCAGGGAGGTGGCTGCTAAGGGCTCTCTTGGGGAGGGGTGACATGGGGCTGGGAGAGGCTCTCCATGGCCTGCACCTTCGTGCCTGGTGAACTAGCAGGAGTCCTTCCGGGATAGCAATTATTTCTCAAATGAACAGCCCTTCTCCTCTCACCCTCTGGCTCTAGCATGACACACAGGTTCAGGTGTGGGTGGGGGCAGCAGTCATGGTTGGCCAAGGGAGGCTGGCCCAGACGAGCTGTTTCCCATCACTAAGCCCTGGTGCGACCCTCTGCAACTGGGGGTACATTCACTGGTTGCTCATGGACGACAGAGACCCTAGGGTGCAGATCCAGCTGCCCGAGTCAAGCCCTCGCTGCGCCACGAACCTGCTGTGTGACTGTGGGCCGGCAGCCTGACCTCTCTGGGCTTCAGTATTCTCATTTGTAAAGTGGGGCTAATAGCCAATCCCTTGTGGTTGCCAGGACGGTGGTTGTTGTCATTGTCAGATGCTGTCAAGGCCAGTTGGCCCTCGACTCATAGCAACCCCATGTTCAATGGAACGAAAGACCACCTTATCCTGTGTCATCCCTGTGACCTCAGGACAAAGTTTCAGGGGTTCATCCAGCCTCCATGGTGCCAGAAAGTCTGGAGTCCGTGAGAACTATAAAGTCTGTTCTGCATTTCCCCCCTTTTGATCAGGGTTCTTTCATAGAATCTTTGGGAGCCACAGGATTTTTGTTGGCTTGTTTTCAGAAGTAGATCGCCAGGCCTTTCTTCCTAGTGTGTTTTAGTGTGAAAGCTGGAGTTTCATTTCCTGTCCTTGCATGGTGTAGAGAATTGCTTTAACGTGGCCCTTCTAGCCATGCATGGTCTTGTTTGTTGTTGGGTCAAGTCAGTCCCAATTCATGTGAGAGCGGGTCAGTAAATAAGGAAAAATTGCTGCAGAAAAATTGATGCGTTTGAATTTTGATGTTGGTGAAGATAATATTGAATATACCACGGACTGCCAGGAGAACCAACAAATCTCTCTTGGAAGGGGTACAGCTGGAATGCTCCTTAGAAGTGAGAACAGGCAGACTTCGTCTCTCAGACTTTGGCCACGTTGTCAGGAACCGCTCCTCAGAGAAGGACATCATGCTGGGTAAAGTGGAGGGTCAGCAAGAAGGGGAAGGCCCTCAAGGAGATGGATTGACACAGTGGCTGCAACGATGGGCCCAAACCCAGCAGCGATTGTGAGGATGGTGGAGGACCAGGAAGTGTTTCGTTCTGTTGTACATGGGGTCCCTGTGAGTCAGAGCTGAGTCCACAGCACCTAACAGCAACCACATTTCCTTAATAAACCCCATAATTGTGAGTATCGTCTGAGTTCTGTGTGGCCGTTGAGAAGGGGAGTCCGTGGGAGGGACGGCTAGTGTCAGAATTGGCAAAAAGGCTGGAGGCGTGTGTGCCCCTCGCCCCTCCAGAATCAGCTTTGGGCTGACGCTGACAGTGACTCTACCTCCCCAGCCCCAGGTGAGGTGGGAGGGTGTGTCGTTTTCACACTTGGAATGCTGTTTTCTCAGTGGTGAAGGCTCTTCCCTCCTGGGGGACACTGACCCCTGCTGAACCCCGTCAGCATGGCCACAGATGGAGTGGGTGGGCAGCAGAAGGTACAAAGGACTCCAGAGAGGTGGCTGGGGTCCTGAACTGAGGCAGAAGGAGCCAGGTTTATACTCATTAACAGACATCTATTGAAGGTCTGCTATGTGCTGGGGGATAGTTACACACAGGCCCCGTCCCCATGAACCTCCTCATCTGATGGGGCAGGCAATGAAGGCAATACTTATCCCACATAGAGTGGGGGCCTGGGGCAGCTTTGCAGCTGGGAGGCACAAGGGGGAGTGCTGGAAGCAGTGACAACTGACAGGGGGCCTGCACCTGCACCCCTGGGTGTCCTCACTCTCTCTCTGGGCAGCTCCCAAGCCCAAACCATATACACCCAGTCCTCACCTATTGACATGGTCAGGTTCCAGAGACCGGGTCATTACATGAAAATTTGCATTATGCAAAAACGGAGGATGACCACATCAGATCTCAAAATGGACAATGATGACATTGTTATGTATCTGCCAAATCACATCATGACAGAACTGGCAAACCACTGAGAATCAAGGCCCAGCCAAAGTGACACACACCTTATCCATCACAGCCAGGGCTGCTCCTGCCTAGCGCCTGGGCACCTGTGACTGCCAGCCGTATCTCATTAATTCAGAGAATAAGCAGGGGAGTTTTCACTATTGTCGTAAATGCGTAATGTTGGATGACAGGATAGTCAGTGAGTGAGGAGTGCGTGTATAAACACAGATGCTAGCTGGTGACCCCATGTGTGTCAAAGCACACGTTTTCAAGGTCTGGTTTTTTGGAAATAGTTTGCCAGGCCTTTCTTCCGAAGTGGAACCCCAACCTTTTGCTTAGCAGCTGGGCTCCTTGACCACACAGGGACTCAGAGCCCAAGCCAACAGCCACACTCATTGAAGCTCTCCCATCATTTGTAAGGTTTGCCCTGTTCACAAAGCCCTCTTCCCCTCACTAGCATTTCCTCTTTTGAGTCCAAGCAGAACTGGGCTCCCCCTGCTCATTTTCTGCCCAGGAAACTGGGCCCAGGGCTCCAGGCTCTGCAGCAGAAGGCCCATGCAGCACGGCACTGTCCAGGTCCCCATGCTGCCACTCTGGGGCCAGAGTGAAGTCTCTGCTTGGCTGTTTCTGGCAGGAACGGGCCTGTGGCGTGAGAGAGGGTGACTTGGTCCCTCCCATCCCAAGGCCGGGACAGGCAGGAGACCCTCCTGCCTCCCTCCCTCTACAGGTATACTTATCTAGCTGTTGGCCTTGGTTTCCACAGCTAGGTGATGGGGCAGTTAGGAACTATGGGTGTCTTTGGAACAGAGGGAGGCTGTGGTGGGCAGATGGTGCTGGAGGCGCCCACCCACCACCAGGTTAGAATCCCATCTGTGTGACACTGGGCAAGTTGCTTAACCTCTCTGGGCCCCAGCTGCCTCATCTGTATGGTTGGTAGTTGCCGTGGAGTTGCTGCCCGCTCACGGAGACTCCACGTGTGATGAGTGGAATTGCTCCAGGAGGTTGTCAAGGCTGTGACCCTTCAGAAGCCAGGCCTTTCCTCCAGGACACCTCTGGGGGCTTTGAACCGCCAACCTTTTGGGTGGTTGTCCAGTGTTTAACCGTTCGTGCACCCAGGGATTTCTGCCTCATCTGTAAACAAGGATAATCAAAGAACCTAGCAGACAGGTTTGGAGAGGGTTCAGTGAACTAGAGGCCCGGGCATCACAGTGAATGCTTGAGTTACTGCTCACTGAGAAGTC